AGCGCGTTGGGGCTGTCGAGCGTTTCCTTCTCGATATGTAGGGGGACGGGGGAGATGGTGCGAGAGTTGGCGATGCGTCAGGCGGAATCGCGGCGATTTGCGACACGTGGGCAGGGCGGTTTCGCGGGTGGCGCGAGAGAAATAGTCGGCGAGGGGACGCGCTCCTTTGCAGCGGCGCGATGCCCAGCGCGGCAATGCGCGACGCGTTGCTTTTTACTGGATGAGGGCGACTACCGCTCATACTTGCCTTTTGACTGGATGAGTCTGACGCCGACAAGTGTACCGCTCATAGTACCGGTCATATTTCCACAGCCGCTCAAATTTTCACAGTTTTTGTTGAGCGCGGGCTCTCGCCTGTAATTTGGCGAAAGCCAACAACAGTCCAATGAAAAGGCTCCATGGCCGCCGCCATCGCTCGATGATTGGCTGGTGACGATTTAGGGTACGTACCATCGTAGAATTAATGACTAATCACTATTCTACCGACGATACCGACGACGGTGCCGCGGAGCGGCGCGCACCAGCATTTGTTCCGATTGACGAAAGGAGAGGTGACCGGGTCACCGTGGACCCGACCGACCACCCGAAGAAGGGGACACACATCATTTCCGATATCCCTGCCTTCTCTTTTAATGCTCCCCCCAAAAACTTTACCTTCCTGCCCCAAGCACCTTCCCACCTACGCACCTTCCACCGCCTTCTACCGCGCGCCGTTGCTCGGCGCCAATCACTTCTTCCGTTCCGCCTCCGTCTTGCGCCACCTTCGATTACAGTTGTGTGCATTCCTGCGCCGTGTTCCTCTTGGACCATCTCAGCCTCCAGCCTCGTTTGTTCCACGTCGCCCGAGCCCTCCGGCCGCGCATGCACGCTGTTTCCGCCGCCTGTAAATCTTCGAAGATTCCAATTTCAACCAACCATCTACTAACGCGAGCATAATGATAATAGAATTGGCTTTAGGGGTCCCACTGTGGAACGTAGCTCGATTCGTCCTACTAAGTCTACTATCCACCACGATACTTTCTAAACTGTGGTCAACAGGCACTGCCTTACGGGCAGGGTCAAGGGTCTCCCGAGGGCATTCAGTGGAGTTCACGCCAAGGACATACACTAGGGGCACTCTGGTTACGGAAGAGGATAGGCGCGATTGGAAGTTTCGCTTCATTCTGACAGCTGTCGCTTCTTCTCTTGTGGCGGCGGATCTCATGATCGAATTCGGGACTGGGTCTGCTGAGGTCGCCGCAGGGAATACCTTGACGACAGGCTACTCGCTAACTGGGGGATCTTCGCTCATAGAGACCAGACAGGTCGGGCAGGGAATATGGGCCCCAACGACAAGGACGCCGAATCGGCTCAACGTCACTTACGACGTCGGTGAGAGGATGTCGCTGCATGATGAAAATAACACACTAGATGAAAGAGCTTGGAACATCTTCTTGGAACATAGAAGTGGAGGTATAGCAGGATTTCAATCTTTGATCGCCGATACACCCTCCGAGCAGATACTCGCTGGATCTGGGGACGAGATTTGGTTCCACGGGGGCAGTGGTACGATTATAGTTAGAGGAAGTGAAGTCATATACATTGATTGGTATTTCGCGTATCGCCTCACTCAACAGGATTACCGAGGCCATCCATCTATCGCCATTCTCGAAATGTTGACCAGCGCCATGTGGTCAGCACACATTCACTTCTCGCGCCTACGTTATCAAATTGACCCTTTCTCGGTAACTATAGAGCTGAACAGTCTGCCAGTTATTGCGGTCGACTGCGACACTACGCCCGAGTACCCGGACGCCTGGGGAGTAGAGTGCATTAACGGGAAGACCCGACTTGGAGAGTTCAGGAGACACGACCGTGTCCAGACTGACGACAAGGACACGGTCTTGAGAAGTTACAATATAACGGTAGAATACGGGGAGAGAGTACAACCACGTGAGGAGTTGGAACTTCCCAAACACTCGAAATTTATCCCGGCAGGATCGTCGTCGAGGAGAACCGATATCGTGTTGTTGTGGGGGGAAGGACTAGAGGTCATCAGATCTCTCTCTTTCGAGTTAAAGCTCTATACGGAAGGCGTCTCGTGGGTTATATGCATTAAGTTTATCGAGGTGGAAGATCTGGATGGTGGTGAGGAGTGTAGACGGCGGGATTGGGCCGACCCTACTGAGAGGGCGGCGGCATTTCAGGCCTTGCAGATCAGCCTCGCGAACCGCAGGCACTTATGGGACATCTTCAAAGTTTGGTCAAGCTCAGGCAACGCATCTGCACTCACTCAAGTGCTGTGGATCTCGGAAGCGTTGTCCGACCACCGTGGCACATTACTCTCCGACGTCAAGACGGTAGCTACGCTGAACAACTATTTTATAATCGGTGTCACAATAATATTTATATCTTTTATGGCTGGGGTGATCAATTTAGTCGTGCATTGGAGGTTGGGGAGAGAGAATCCAGAGAGCTGCCGCTACTTGACGCTGGAGAGCAGCAGACGCATTGCAGTAATGTCGGCTCGAAGCAGGTATAACTGTTCGCAGATACCGAATAGGGCGCCTATTACGGCAATATTGAGGAGTGGCGAATTCACTTGCCATTTGAGCACCTCCTACAGCGAGCAGCCTGAGTCACTCTCACTACCCGCTTGTCGTAAGGAGGGACTTCTGCTAATGGGTTGGAGTAATACGTCACTTGGCGGTCACTTGGCGGACGTGGTGCGGACTGCGGCGGGGCGAGCGTCAAGCAGGCTAAGGAGAGGGCTGTCAAACGGCCATTGCTCAGAATCGGCGGGCTCTCAACCACTCAGGCTGCAGCTGAGGGCGGACCCAAGCGAGAAATGAAGGAGGCAAAGCGGGTTTGGGGAGACCTTAAGATTAGCCAGACAGGCCCGCCAGACCGCTGGCGAGATGTTAGTGAGCAGATAAACCGTCTCGCGGTGACCTTAGTCTCACTAGAAAGACTCAAGGCGATAGACTTCGACGTGAAAGTATCTGTCGTAACGGCCGACCCAATTGAAAGCTTGGGCAAGAGATTCAAGCACTCTGATTACCAGAAAGAGGGGACGATAGTGACTGTATGTGCAAAAGGAATCAGAATAGGGGCCGATGTGCTGGAATTGGCTCCAAACCCAGGTCTAGTATGCGTCCGTTATTGGTCGGTAGTAGGAGCGCACCGTGGGAGGTGAAGGGCATGCACGAGGATCGAATCCGAAAAGAGGTTGAGGAAAGTGAGGCATCGATGCTGGGAGGAGTCGCCGGGCGGATTCAGGAGCAGGTGAGAAGTATGGGTGGGGCAGGAGAAGGCTGCACTGGCTGGGATGGTTGGAGCGAACCAGACGGCCCGGAAATCAGCAGTCGTGCGCCGGGGCGCAGAATCGCAGTATGCAGAGTCGTGACATGAGAACGGCCCCCGCGAGCGCGACTGAAACATCTGTTACCAAGACCGGACGAGGGGACACCCCACGCCTCCCCAGAAAAAGGAAAACCAACCAACCACCCCGTTTTACCTGACAACAGGTGGCGCGGGGAGAAATGGTCGGCGGGGAGGTGCGCTCCTTTGCGGCGGGGCGATGCGCAGCGCGGCAATGCGCGGCGCGTTGCTATTTACTGGTTGAGTCTGACGCTGACTACTGCATCGCTCATTTTTCTACACCCGCTCATATTTTTCATAGATTCATGTAGATGCATGGAGGGCTTTACCAGAACATCAGCGGGGCGTTGCGAGCGATGCGCACCGGGATTCTTTCGAAGTTATGAGGGTCTCATGTGTGACCTGACAATTATTAAGGCTTGCCACAGATGCTTCGAAGGGTCGTTCTCCGACCGCCCGGGAAGGGCGAAATGTCGACCTTGCCTACCAGGAAGCATTCAGCGTCGTCGGGGACAAACGAAATGTGTGAGATGTCCTTTGGGAACAGTACCAAATTCGTTCCGCTCCGAATGCATTCCGGCGACGGGATGTGCGAGGGATACGGCAAGGAAGAATTCCGGTTGTTTAAGCTTCTGCTGCGATGGGTCAGATGTCTCAGGGCAACCTGTTGACTATTCGTGACTTCGGAAAGAAGTCATCTATCATGCACGAAGTGCAAAGGAGGCGCTCTAATTTTCTGGAGAGAATTACATGGACTCTCCTTGGCTTTCCCGAAGTCTTTGAATTTCGAGAGAATTACATGAACTCTCCTGGGCTCTCCCCGACTCTCCTGGAAAATATGATAGGGCCGCTCAGGGACAGAGGAACAGAACAAAAGCTTTACTGTGGATCAAAGGTCGTGGTGAGCGTGGTTGTTGCTCAGTATCATGAGCTCTGCCCTTTTCTACTACGATGGAAGGGACGGGTGTACTAATTAAGTAAAAGGAGAACTTGGAGTGCTGGTGCCAAACAAAATCGTTGTGGGAGAGTGCATGTCATCCTGAGGTTGCATTTCGTGGGAGAGTGCGGGTCATCTTCAAGTTGCATTCGTGTGAAGCTGCATTTCGTTTGCATTTGGATTGTTCTGAACTGTGTCAACAATCTATCACACATCACCCACAACTTTTATACCTGGGCTCTCGCAAATCTACTCCCTTTTATGGAACATTCTATTTTAGTAACTTGTAGCTGCCATAGTAAAAGTAGTGGTTCGGCTACAGAAAAATGGGACATCGGACATCGGATCTGATCCCCGTCAACGTTTGCTCCAACGGAAAAAGCGCTTTTCTCACGACTTGTCTAAAAACCGCCGTGTTCAATAGTGCAAAGGTTTGTTCCGAAAACGGGAAATGCGAAAGCTGTCCGACTAAATTTGAGAGCAAAGGTGGGCGGACCACAAAGTGCACGGGATGCAATGGCCTCATCTGGGGGGATGAAGAATGCAAGTGCGTGTCAGGCTTCTTCGATGCACGGGAGCTCGTCGATGGCGTCTGCGGCAGCTGTGGCTCCGGAACGATAGGAGTGCTGGTTGTAGAGGGGTGTACGAAATGCGCTGCAGGAACGTTTCGCAGAAAATCATTAGGGGGATATCTGAGATGCGAGTTGTGCCCTGCAGGGACGTTTAGTAGACCTGGAGCGGCGAGGTGTAGTGCGTGCCCTGCAGGGACGAATACTTTCGACTCAGGTGCCGCAAACTGCATCGTGCCTGGGTCACTGGGGTATGACAGGGGTTTTTGGTCTTTTGGGCTTAAAAGAACAAAAAAAGAGTGTTATGAGAGGGAAGATGTAGGTGACGAGGAATTAAGTGATGAGACTTGATGAGGAAGTTATGGTGGTGGTGAATCAGTGTCATAAAAGGTGTATGACTGGGTTTTTGGTACCTCGCAATTGCAGGGGGTTACGGGTAATAAAAGCGGGCCATTGGAAAGCGATGGAAGGGGGCGGGGTGGTCCGTTAGTATTGACGAAAGAAAGTTGTTGTGGAGGATTTCAGAGATGAAAAAGTGGCAACTACAGCAGGTGTCGTGAGGTAAGCAGTAGTAGTAGTAGTAGTAGTAGTAGTACACTTTTGGGTTCGGTTGTAAAGATAGATTTTGTTTCTGAAGATGCAGGGTTGGTTGGGGACGGTTGCAATGAAAGGATATCTGGTGAAGGTGCGAAAAGAGAAGAAAAAGGTGGGAGGCACTTGATGGGAACGGTTGGACTCGAAGATGGAAACGATCATCCGACAGCAAGGTGTTGAATGATGAGAATGAGTTTTGATCTCTGGATTGTGAGTGAGAAAGGGTGCGGGATTTTGTTGTGTTGTGTCAAGTATTTGGAGGTTACAATAGCTTGTTCTCCGTGCCATGAGACGGAAACGAAGAGGGAATGTTTTTTTTTGGGAATTGGTTGCGTGCATTGGGCGAGTTGTGCCGTAGCAGAGGATTGGGGGACAAGGAGTGTAGAAAGAGTTGTTGATGTCATGTCAACATGAGGAGTGTTGAGAAATGGAGAATTAGAAAGGGTGTGTGGAGGTTGAATGGCGAAGAGGGTAAAAAGATAGAAAGGCGATTCGAAGTATGGACGAGACGACACACGTGTACTTCTCACCCACGTGTACCACGCGTATACTCTCTATTGGCCTGGGCCCTCTGTGCATCTGAGTACAGTACAACGTGAACACGTGCGCCCACGTGGCCGCCCGCGTGGTACAGCAATGAAAGCGGAGACTATTGATGAATGCGGCGAAGAATGCTTTACTGTACAACCGGCCATGACCGGCTACGATACCTACCTACCTATCTACCTACGGTGTCCCCACGCGCCTCGTCCAATACATACACAGACGAAACATACGCGCGAGCGTGAGCGGGGTCGGGGGCGCGTGCGG